CTTTGATCACCGACGCATCCTCGATCAAAAAAGCACCAAAACCGAATTAACCTCAAAAATCGTATCTAATCTTTGTAGGGGGCGTTACGCGACCTAACCTCATTCTTTCTCTTTCTTTATCTCTTATTTCATTTTTTTTCTATTCTATCTTTTTCTTTCTCTTATGGGGTCCACGGCCGCCCCGATGACATAACATCTCTCTCGAAACGAAGACGACGACCTCTGGTGGAGACCTAGGTTTCGCGAGAGTTTCTCGTATGTTCGTCGTCGTTGTTGGTAGGTAAAAGAAAAGAGAGACAACCACGAGGAGGAGTGAGAGGAATAAACGTGGCAACACCGCGTCTGTCTCGTTGCGTCGCAGTCGCCCTTGGAATCCGCGATCGCCGGGTCACAGACCGCCGGTCGGCCTCCGAACCGAATGTTTCCGAAAATGAACGAGGCAAGATCGGATTTATTCAAAAAAATCAAACATAATAAAAAATTAATGCCTAAATAAATATAATTAATTCGTTAATATTGATTATTATTTTTCTTCAATTTTTACAATAACAATAACCCGTAGATCCGAACTTGTGTTAATTTAAAAGGTCACAAGTTCGTATGTACCGGGAATTGTTGTGGTGAAAACATCAACGTTTTCTCAAAACTTAAAGCCTGAAGATTCCGTTTTAAGAAGAAATCGGTGTGTTTTGGATTGAGGTAGTAGGTTGTATAGCAAAATATACGTCTAGGAGTACTGTACGACCTGCTAACTTTGTCCAATCACACCAGAAACCATCGAATCCGCAAAAATCCCAATTTTATGTAACCAAAACAAATAATAATAAAATTAATTTGTATTTCGTTAATTTTTTTTTTCAAATTTTCTTTAAAACCTTCATTTCCCTGAGACCCTAACTTGTGATGTCATTTTAAACTCTCACAAGCTAGCGACTCGGGTATTGATGGTTTGAGTTAACTTCTTGTATGACTAAAAGATTAACCGAATAATATGTTAAGTTGTGTGTTGCACTAATTCTTGAAAACGAAGCGTTCTTCGGGGGTATTGATTTTCGAGAAACGCATGGCGGGTCAGCACCGGCTGCGCAATAACACGCGTACCAGCACGTAGTCGTTGCAACCCGACAATGTTGGTTACGTTGGGTTAGGTTAGGAACTCGATCGATAATTATACACTATGTATTTGATTCACCAAAATCATCATAAATTTATTTCATTTCATACCTTCATAATTTTCTGTTAATATCTTAGAATTTTCGGCTAAACGCTTTGATGCAGTGAAAGAAGATTCCAAATAGCATCAAAGTTTTAGCTGGAAAAAGACCCCAAGTTAGGCTAGGGATGATATTTAAAGACTATGTTGAGGAAGGCCAATCCAAAAACATATATTCCACCATCTTACATAACATTCCTTACAAATGAGTTCTATTGCGCGATTGGGTAATCATTTTGTATTCAATGTTGAGACAAGTCTGGTTAATATCTGGGTTTTGACTAATTATGCCGAAAATTATGGTGGAAATGTATGATTTTGCATAATTAAGGTTTGTGTGGGCAGTTTATTTATGTCTCACCCATAAACAACCTCGATTAACATGCCAGCTTTTGTCTTAAATCGGTGATATCATAAATTGTCCACAGCGCTCGAAATGTATTGGGATTTTTCGACAAAAAATTTGAAAAGTGCGATTTTACTGCTTGGAACTCAAACTTAATACAGAACGGAGAATATAAGATTTTGCCTAATTAAACCAAGGACTCTTGACGCCGAGACACAGCAGCAATATGAGATCCAATTCTGAATGGATTTTGTGTTGTTAGGTTGGTCGCAAAATAATTTCGTTATTTTATGAGAATGTAAGACGATTTTCTTATGGCAAATAAATATTTTATTGAATTTATATAATCAAATATCTTTGGTCATCTTTCTGACAGTAGCTCATCAAATTCTTGTTCTTTGACGCCATATGTTGAGTATTCAAATTAAACCTAGACGTTTCAAATGATGTCTTGGTTAGCTTCTACTAGCAGTCCAGAACATGGTGCAGCTTCAATGTCAAAATTGCCGCAATACATCTTCCCTATACGCAAATATATTTCGATAGGTTAATAATAAAGAAATGCCGAAAATCCTGCTTTTCACTTCGTACTCAATCGAAAGCAACAATACGAAATGAATAGAAATTTATCACAAGCCATATATTGAATGATTATGCGGCTTTAGTGTGAAGTTGGCTGTGAAGAAATACATTTAAGTCCTTTCTTAGGAAAAAAAAACGCACAACCTAATCATTCTAGCACTTCAGCCGAAAGCAACCTCGATCGTTTACCAGCCTCGGCCGTAAACGATCTCAGCATAATTAGTTGAAATCTAAGTATAGCCGAGGTTGCTTGCGGTCGAGGCACAGTGTAATAACGCCACAAATGTATAGCCTGCAATATATGATTCAATTTTGACTACATATTGTATTAATTGAAAGATCTATGACTTCTCTGANTCCAAGAAATCGATTTTTCACAAATTTATTACGATGGAGTAAAAATTTTAAAATTTTGGTTAAGTTCAAAACGAGATATCTCAAAAATTAAGAAACATTTTCCAAAGCGGAGTCGTTCAATGAAAAGAGGATGCTTTCATCTATAAATTGTGTATGTTTCATAATGATTCTCCAAGAAATCGATTTTTCACAAATTTATTACAATGGAGTAAAAATTTTTAAATTTTGGTTAAGTTCAAAACGAGATATCTCAAAAATTAAAAAAGATCTTTTAAAGCGGAGTTATTCAATAAAAAGGAGATGGTTTCATCCATAATTTGTGTATGTTTCATAATGATTTTCCCAGAAATCGATTTTTCACAAATTTATTACGATGGAGTAAAATTTAAAAATTTTGGTTAAGTTCAAAACGAGATATCTCAAAAATTAAAAGACATTTTCCAAAACGGATTCGTTCAATGGAGAGAGGATGCTTTCATCTATAAGTTGTGTATGTTTCATAATGGTTATCCAAGAAATCGATTTTTCACAAATTTATTACGATGGAATAAAAATTCAAAAATTGCGATTAAGTTCAAAAAGTGATATCTCAAAAATTAAAAATGATTTTTCAAAACGGAGTTGTTCCATGAAAAGAGGATGCTTTCATCCATAAATTGTGTATGTTTCATAATGATTTTTCCAGAAATCGATTTTTCACAAATTTATTACGATGGAGTAAAAATTTTAAAATTTTGGTTAAGTTCAAAACGAGATATCTCAAAAATTAAAAAAGATCTTTCAAAGCGGAGTTATTCAATAAAAAAGAGATAGTTTCATCCATAAATTGTGTATGTTTCATAATAATTCTCCAAGAAATCAATTTTTCACAAATTTATCACGTTGGAGTAAAAATTCTAAAATTTCGATTAAGTTCAAAACGAGATATCTCTAAAATTAAAAAACATATTCTAAAGCGGAGTCGTTCAATGAAAAGAGGATGCTTTCATCCATAATTTGTGTATGTTTCATAATGATTTTCCCAGAAATCGATTTTTCACAAATTTATTACGATGGAGTAAAAATTTTAAAATTTTGGTTAAGTTCAAAACGAGATATCTCAAAAATTAAAAAAGATCTTTCAAAGCGGAGTTATTCAATAAAAAAGAGATAGTTTCATCCATAAATTGTGTATGTTTCATAATAATTCTCCAAGAAATCAATTTTTCACAAATTTATCACGTTGGAGTAAAAATTCTAAAATTTCGATTAAGTTCAAAACGAGATATCTCTAAAATTAAAAAACATATTCTAAAGCGGAGTCGTTCAATGAAAAGAGGATGCTTTCATCCATAAATTGTGTATGTTTCATAATGATTTTCCCAGAAATCGATTTTTCACAAATTTATTACGATGGAGTAAAAATTTTAAAATTTTGGTTAAGTTCAAAACGAGATATCTCAAAAATTAAAAAAGATCTTTCAAAGCGGAGTTATTCAATAAAAAGGAGATAGTTTCATCCATAAATTGTGTATGTTTCATAATAATTCTCCAAGAAATCAATTTTTCACAAATTTATCACGTTGTAGTAAAAATTCTAAAATTTCGATTAAGTTCAAAACGAGATATCTCTAAAATTAAAAAACATTTTCCAAAGCGGAGTCGTTCAATGAAAAGAAGATGCTNGAAATCTAAGTATAGCCGAGGTTGCTTGCGGTCGAGGCACAGTGTAATAACGCCACAAATATATAGCCTGCAATATATGATTCAATTTTGACTACATATTGTATTAATTGAAAGATCTATGACTTCTTTGATTATGCCGAGATCGCTTGCGGGCGAGGCGCAGCACTATGTAAGCCATTTCTGAGTAAATCTTGTAAAAATTGTAACGTTTCAGCCTAAAGGCTAAATTTAGTGTGGACCATTTTTGGACTATTATGGTATTAACTAACGCCTTGGCCGCAGGTAACCTCGATTAAAGTAGGTATGAATCAGTTTTCAATGATTTTGATGTTAACTAATACCTAGGCCGATCAACCTCGGCTAAGGTTGGAGAAAAAATCTATGACTTCCCTGATTAAGCCAAGGTAGCTTACACTACATGAGCCAGTTCTCAAATCTTGTATTAATTGGAACTCTTCAATTGCAAGCGACCTCGGTTAAGTTTAAAATGGGAAATCTATGACTTGCCTGATTAAGCCGAGGTCGCTTGTGGGCGAGACACAGCATTATCTGAGTAAATCTTGTAAAGCCTCAGCGACTTAGTGTTTACCACTTTTGGACTGTTATGGTATTAACTGACGCCTCGGCCGCAATCGACCTCGGCTAAACTAGGTATGAACTAGTTTTCACTGATTTTGATATTACCTAAATGCCTCGGCCGCAAGCGACCTCGGCTAAACTTAGTATCAATCAGTTTTGGGTTGTTATGGTATCAATTGTTTCGCCTCGATCGCAAGCAACCTCGGCTGAGGTTGGAGTGAAAAATGTATCACTTCACGGATTAAGCCGAGGTCGCTTGCGGACGAGGCGCAACAATACGTGAGCCAGTTCTGAGTATATCTTGTATTAATGAAATGCCTCGGCCGCAAGCGACCTCGGCTAAACTAGGTAAGAACCAGTTTTCAATGATTTTGATATTAAATAAATGCCTCGGCCGCAAGCGACCTCGGCTAAACTTGGTATCAATCAGTTTTGGGTTGTTATGGTATCAATTGTTTCGCCTCGATCGCAAGCAAGCTCGGCTGAGGTTGGAGTGAAAAATGTATCACTTCACGGATTAAGCCGAGGTCGTTTGCGGACGAGGCGCAACAATACGTGAGTCAGTTCTGAGTGTAACTTGTATTAATGAAATGCCTCGGCCGCAAGCGACCTCGGCTAAACTAGGTAAAAACCAGTTTTCAATGATTTTGATATTACCTAACTGCCTCGGCCGGAAGCGACCTCGGCTAAACTTAGTATCAATCAGTTTTGGGTTGTTATGGTATCAATTGTTTCGCCTCGATCGCAAGCAACCTCGGCTGAGGTTGGAGTGAAAAATGTATCACTTCACGGATTAAGCCGAGGTCGTTTACGGACGAGGCGCAACAATACGTGAGCCAGTTCTGAGTATATCTTGTATAAATGAAATGCCTCGACCTCAAGCGACCTCGGCTAAGCTTAAAATGGAAAATCTTTCCTAATTAAGCGAACAGTTTTTGGTGATTATGGTATTAATTATAGCACTTGGTGTAAACCAGAATATTAGTTGGATATTAATCATGCAAAGTCCCGCTCTAACTTTAATCGAGATAGTTTGCGTAGGAGGCACTCTTTTATATGCTGCTTCAATTTGGGTAATGAAGCCAATATACGTCAGTTATATCTAGATATTACTTCCTACAACGTTATTGTTTAATATTAAAATCAAGATGGCTAAAACATTAAAGAGAAATTTCATATGAAATGAGTACAAATTTAGCCAACTCAACAAATCAAGATGGCCGAAAACTAGACGCGGTTATCTAGCGCCATCTATGAGTATTTAAACGCAATTAGGGTACCATAAAGTTGTTTTTTTAACATAAATATTAATTTATTAAATCATCCATTTCAACTTATCCAAAAGACGTTAATAAATTTTGAAATTGTCCTAACAAATTCATTATCGGATTCTTATTATTACTATTATTAGTATTCGGTTTTCCTTGATCCATCATCGTCGTACAATTATACATATTTCTGATTTTTCGTATATCACCAACACTAAATCCGTCTCTTTGTCCGATTCGAACGTTGCTTCTTTTCGGCACAATCGTCGGTTTTTGATTTGCGCTAAACGCGTACGCCGAATAATGCATAACTGAATTGTAATCGTAAGGAATTCCATATCCAACAGCGATCTCTTTCGGAACTTTGGCAAAATTAAAATCGTGACCTAAAAAAATCCAATTAAAAATAAATTTAAACTAAAATATTTATAGGATTATAATACCATTTTGAATATTTTCCCATTTAATATCGACGAAATTATCACGTTCATAACGGGTTTGTTCGTGATTAAAACCTACAGCGTGCATCAATTCGTGTACGGGTGTCCCTAAAGTTCCTAAACACCCGGGACTTTGTAAGTTTACTTCTTGCATACCACCGATTTTTCCAACACTCGACCAACATCCGGTTCTTGTGTTGATGATGTTGATGTAATCGACATCTTCGGGTTGGCGTCGGCGGAATCTTATACAGGTGTTTTCGTGGTATTGACGCATTGCTTCGTAAATCATATTTAAATCGCCCTCAGAAAATGGGCCGGTGATGACGTAGGGGATGATTCCAGCATCCCATTTCGATCCGAAATCAACCAAACCATTCTTTGATTTCCGATTGATTAAGATATCGCCTTCTAAGTAACCCGAGAGCTCTTCGGGGTTCGCCAAATTCGTTTTCGGGGAGTAATCATTGATGATGTCACCGACCTTTTCATTCGGAGACCCGAACATTTTTGCACCATAATCCAAAATTAAATTGTTTAAAACATTTTCTTGAATCGGGTGGGAAAGAAGAATTTGGAGTTGAGATGTTACGATAACGACGAATAGATGGCGTTGCGAAAACATTTTTTTAAAACACTTTTGAACACTGAAAACTAACTGATTGCACTTTTTTGTAACAAAGCGTTTTTATACTAAGCGATTCAAGATCGCGCGATGTTAATATGACCTAAATTTTAATAATTCCGAAATGATAACGAATAATAATGTTATTTTTTTAAATGTGTAATTGCGGTTCTTCCTTGAAAAATTGTTTGCTTTTTGATAAAGTGGTCGTTATGTCTTTTAAACGTATTCTAGGAAATCGTTAAAAAGATTGTAAAAATAAAATTATCATTTTTAACTTAACCTTAAAATTTCGTTCAAATTTTAATTAAACGTCAAAATTGAAATGTCAAAATAATTATTTTGAAATTAATTTTGGGATTTTTTCCCAAATAATCAAAAAAATAGGCCTTTTTAATCAAAATTGAATCGTAATCGGTTTGGATTATCAAAATTTCTTATTATTTTTAATTAATTTTAAATTTTCCCGCTCACCACATCAAACATAACCCAACTTTTTCCTTCACATCTTCTTCGACGCAAAAAGAATTTTCTTATTAATAACAACGAATAAATAGCGAATAAATAACGGGAATCATCAACGAAAACGTTACGAACATCTCAAGGTAAAAAAAATCGTAAAATAAAGGTATTTATTTTTATCTTTTTAATTTTAAGGTTATGTTTTATTTTTCTGAGATAAACTCAAGGTAATTTTGTGTTTTTTTTAGGTAAAAGATGACCCAAAGAAGCGATTTGGACTTATTATTGAAATACCCGATGGTTTTACCAAAAAATTACTCAAAATACGAATATTCCGGTTACATAAAAGTCAACGAAAACGATTATGAGGTTAATTTCACCATCGAAAATAAAAAATATAGATTAAAACCAACCGACGATTTAAACCCATTTTGGAATAAAATTAAAAAATTAAGCGAAATTGATTATTTCTCCCCCGTCGATTTCTTGGACACATTAACAGAGTGTATTAAAAAAAACTCAAAGTTAGAAAAACCCGAGGATTACGTTGATTTATACCGGAAAGTTCTACGAGAATACTCCGAATTAAGACAATTCTACATCAACATTGATTATGCTCAATTATCGAAAGATTTAAAAACAATACGGGTGGTTCATTCTGATGAGAAAAGTCGAAAACACCCCATTTTAATTGAAGTTGATTACGAAGCGCCTCCTAACAAAATATTTAAAATAACTAAATGCGATCTTCCTGAATACCAAGAGAGTCTTGTTAAAACTCCAGATGGTTCTTTACTAACAGTTTATGAGAATTATTTAAAAATCGTTAATAATAATAACCTGCAAGCACTTTTTGATATTTTAGATGAGATTGATAAGAATTGTTGGGTTTTAGAGCCTGAAAATCCAACAAGGAGGGATGTTTCAAGAAGAATTATGCTTGGTAAATACAAAATAATAAATAACAACTCAACCCAACCCCTCACCACATAGTGTGCCTTTCTTACTATTAATACAATTCGTGACATATTTAGGATAACCACTTCCAAGATGTATGAGTCAAATCGTCAGTTGACTAATTTTTGCAAAACTGAATGTTTAGATTATTGTAAATAGTGAGAAAAAGTAAGTCGCGTTGTAATAAATATATAGATGAAAGGTAAGTATCTATTCAATGATTTGAAGTAAGGTAAGTATCTATGTTGTATTTCTGTGCTCACAAGTCTTGAAGAACCTCTAGATTTTGAAGAAGAACAATGGGACAGTGAGAATGATTTGCCCCTAATAAATATACCGGTTCATAGAAATAATACCAGATGAGATAGAATCAAGATTTACCGAAAGAAATAATAAACATGCTCAAAACTTGCTCACACCAGAAATATGACAGCAGAAAAAATTCTATTAAGTCTATTATACAGTTGCCTTCTACAAGAAGCTATTGGAAATCTTCCATAGCTATTCCTGCAAGTTGTGCCACTATGTCTTGTAACATATTTGAAAAAATCGAACAACTACATCTCAGAATGAGCAGCAATTCTCGTAAAACTAGCGGAAACGATACCTAGAAATCAGAACTATAAGTTATATTTTAACAACTGGTTTACAAGTATAGACCTACTCATATATTAAAACAAGGTATTTTACCTCTTGATACTGTTAGAAAAAATCTACGGTCTAAAGAAGAGGTACCATAATTGGAAAAGTTACAAATGTAGATGGCGTAGTCACAACTATAATATGTCGGAAGTCAAAATGTGTCTTAATACAACACGCCCGAGTAGTGTAAGCATTTACAACTCCTACATGGGAAGAGTTGATCTCTTGGGCTCAATATTAAAATTTTCTTAGATCTAATGTGTGTAAAGCATGGCTTTTATGGAGAAGAAGATTTGCTGATTCAGAAATGTCTTTGCCACTTTCTGAATTGAAACTAGAAATAGCTAAAGTGCTAACAAAATCATTTACAACCTAAACTGGATCTAAAAAAAGAAAGAAATTCCTACCCAAGACTGATGAACGCCAACGGTGTAAATATCCACAATGTAAAGGAAAATTCTTTGTAATGTGCACAAAATGTAACGTTCACCTTTGTTTCAATAAAGATCGAAACTGTTCTTTTAATTTTCATGTAACATATTTAACACATTCATGTTTAATTACAGTAAATCTTCTTGTTAGTTTTGCTTATACAGTACAGGTGTTCTAAATTCGTTGTCCGCATAGGCATGACCACGTTTTTCGAGAAACTACTAATGCCGAACTCTCTAAACAGCTATCGTCTTTTTCTTTTAAAACAACACTTTCAAACAAGACCAACAATATATAAATCGGTTGAATGGTGCGATATTATCTAAGCTTCTACTAAATGATGTTGTCAAAGTTATAGCTCATCGTCTAACTTTTTGAGATTAGCACTTTGCCTATAAGGATTTTTCCCCAAACCTCTAGGCCTTAACATTGTCGAGATACAGCCGCTCCGTACCCTTAACATAATGGCTGCCACGTGATACATACAGGGTGTCTCAGCGAGACCGGTCATTAGACGTTTCTGGGGTTCTGGCGAAAATAAAAATTTGAGAATTCAGACTTAAGTATTATCAATTACGATCTATTCGTCTAAAATATTTTCAGATTTCTTGCACTTCCGGTTATACCGGAAGTCGCCACCAACTTTATTTTTTTAAATGGAACACCCTGTATATTTTTACATATTTGGATTTGTCTGTTTTCAAGGTTTATAAAAAACTTTACTTTTTGCAATTTGATTCGTCCGTTCTCGAGTTATTCGAATTTTTCTAGAAAAATCTGCTCCAGCAGACATTTGTTCAAAAAATCAGAGAACACTCGATTTTTGGGATATAAATTTAGGATTGAGAACATGCTTAAGCAACATGATGGAGTATGTTTTGGTGCCGAGAACTGCTGTCTAGATCGTTTGGTCACTTTACTATGGCACGTTAACTTTTCAAAATTTGGAAGTACCATAACTTCATTTTTTTAAATGGCACCCCCCATATTTTATTTCTTAGTCGTCTTCGGTGTCTCATTCTACATCTTTTATATCCCATATGTCCCATACCTAATATTAATAGTTTGGGAGATAATTAGGGTTTTTTGAAAAATGCACACATATTATATGGATATTTAGCCTAGTGTGCCATGAAAAACAAGCCTTCTCAATGAGTTCTTGTCAAAGACTCACTTGTTTACGTCACTTGATGCATGTGAGCTAATAATTATCTGTTATGTCCCTTAATTAATATTACTGAAACGAGTTAAAATCTATAACAATAACGAAAATAATATTTACACAAATCAAGAAATTCTTAATTTATTTTTTATGCATGAAAAGCGCGACATCTTTTTTCAATCTTCTTTGGCAGCTCGAATTGAGGTGTTGGGACTGGGCTCGAAATAAGCCAAGGTATTCACCTCTTCCGTTGCATTATCTACTACATTTTTTGGTCAGTTTAACACGTGATTAACTCGTCCAAAATACAAAAAATTTGCTTCTATTCTTCTAAATTTACCTTTTGTCAACGGAGATAAATGTGGACAATTTTCATTAAACATTCTGCAAGTTCTACTAAGAACTTTGTCGCACTTTTCGTGCACAAAAAATAAATTATGGATTTCTTCATTTGTATAAACATTATTTACGTTATTAATATCCATTTTAACTGGTTTTAGACTCAAAAGCATCAAACAACGTAAATCAGACTTTGACGTTTATCAATAAGTCATTAAACATTTGTTTTCCATGGCACACTAGGTTAATATCGATATGATATGTGAGCATTTTTCAAAAAACCCTAATTATTTCTCAAACTATTAATGTTAGGCATAGGACATATGGAATATAAAAGATGTAAAATGAGACGCCGAAGACAACTAAGTAATAAAATATGGGGGGTGCCATTTAAAAAAATGAAGTTATGGTGCTTCCAAACTTCGAAAAGTTAACGTGTCATAGTAAAGTGACCAAACGATCTAGACAGCCATTCTCGGCACCAAAACATACTCCCTCCATCATGTTGTTTAAGCATGTTCTGAATCCTAAATTGATATCTCAAAAATTGAGTGTTTTATGATTTTTTGAACAGAAACAAAGGCAGAATCAAATTGCAGAAACTAAAGTTATTTATAAACCAATTCAAAACAGACAAATCCAAATATGTAAAAATATACAGGATGTTCCATTTAAAAAAATAAAGTAGGTGGCGACTTCCGGTATAACCGGAAGTGCTAGAAATCTGAAAATATTTTAGATGAAGAGAACGTAATTGATAATACTTAAGTCTGCATTCTCAAATTTTTTGTTTGGCCAGAACCCCATAAACGTCTAATGACCGGTCTCGCTGAGACACCCTGTATATGAATGTCACTTGTCTGTTTTCATTTTCATCTTTGCCTCTCCTAATTCTTCCATTGTTATCTCTTCATTTGCTATGTCTGTAGTGTCTTCCCTTATCGCATCTTTTCTTCCCTCCTTCGTTATTTATGTGCGTTTTCTATCCTGGAATTTTGTAAAATGTCTCTTGTAGTTGTCTTTATCTGGTTGTTTTTATTTTTAACGGCTTTTGATTCCAGAATTTCCTGTTATTCGATCTGTATGTTTCACCTAAGTTTGTTCCGAACTCTTCTCAACTTTCCTTTTTCGCATCCTTTACCATATTCTTAGCTACATCTCTGTTCGTTCTATACTTTGCTCTTCTTATTATATCTTCTTCTTAATTGACTGTCGGACCTCTTCATTCCACCAGTGTGTTCTCTTTGTCTGATTATTATGTTTTCTCATTCCTCATCTCTTTAAATTCTCTGTTTGTTCTAGTTTTTGAAATTCGTTGTTTGTTTTTTCTTGGTATTTTAGTCTTCCTTCCTCCTGCCTTAGTTTATGGATGTTTATTTAGTGTTGGTTTTCATCTTCTCTCTTTCGATTTCTATATTATTAATAGTCGCCATGACTAGTCTGAGGTTGGTGGTTGGTCCCCGCTTCTGCTTTAGTCTTTACCTCCTCGACTTTGTTTTGGAGATTCCGGGTGTATGTGATGTAATCAATAATACTCATTTATCTTGCCTCCTCTGACTTCACATAGTGTTTTTAATCAATAAGTCGTCTATTTGACAAAATTCCAGTATTCTTTGCCCATTTTTATTCATCACTGCCTCTCCCTGATCACTATATTCTCCTATACTACTTCCTCCATTGTGTATTATAATTACATCCTCTCCTTGTTTTATGGATTCCGATTCCAGAATTCTTGAATTTACTGGTGCATACTTATTTACTCTTTTATTTGGTTCCTCTGTTATAATTATTCCTACTCCCTCCTTGCTCCATATATTTTCTTGGATTCCTGAAAAGTATAGATTATAATTGTTTGATTATTGTATACTTCCCCTGCAGTTCTTTTTCACTTCACTAATTCTCATTATTTCTATCCGAAACATCATCTCCTCCATTATTTCCTTTCCCATTAAAGTTGTAATTTTCCACGTATAAAGATGGAAACATCTTTATGACTTTCCTATTTTCTGCCATTTTCATCCTCAGTAAAGTCATCAAATCCAACCTTTATGTGAATTTTCTTAGAGTAGTCCTTATCTGTCCATATATTCGTTCCTTTCAACACTTAAATTTTTTTTTTAGATGAAAAAGTCTCGATCGTGATTACTTTCAACCCGAAGGATGTTTCGACGATCCCCCAAATCAAATTCTTAGGCCCGGTGGGGTTAACCAAGAAATACGTGGACTTATTAAACAAAAATTGTGTTAATTACAACCCACACGGCGACACAATCTTGGAATTATACAACTTATTAGGTACATAAATTTTGTTGGGAATTATTTAATTTTAAAAGAAATAAAAAATTTTCCAAGGCAACCAACGAACGTTTTGGAGGAGGAATTGCTCGTCAACGATGAAGAGTGCTGTATATGTTTTTCGAAGTGGTTAGAAGGAAAAGCGCCGGAAGTTCAATGCGAGAATGGATCGTGTAGGCAACGATTTCACTTCGACTGCTTATACCAGGTTATTTTTTCAATTATGATTAAAATAAAAATAATATTTGTGTTTTTAGTGGTTAAGATCATCGAGTTCGACCACGTTTTATTACGAAATTTACGGAAATTGTCCAAATTGCGAAAAGAAAATCCGATGTCCATTTCCAGCTGAGACAAACACAGAAAATTGAATTGGAAAAGAAAAAAAAACACTTTTTTGATTTATTTATATATAAATAAATAAATAAATACAATAAATTTTTTATTTAAAACACAAAAATGTTTTTATCTTGAACACTTTTCAAATAATTTTTGATACAACCACTAAAATTTTCACCCCCACAAATCAAAACTTGAACATTTTCACTTTTATTCTTTAAAAACTCCCCAATTTGAGTCTCCCCCAATCGATTTTCATGCACAATCTCGTTATATTTACAAAAACCTTTTTTAGAACCCCCCAAAAACACCTCATAATCAAAATTCCAATACTTTTTTAACTCGTATATCTCATCATGCAAAAAAATCTCATTGCAACAATAAAACAACTTAATAAAACCCTCAAAATTCTCATCATTAACCATTTTAATGATCACCGAGTAAATAGGCGCAATCCCCGTGCCTTGCGCTATCATTAAAACATCCCTAAAATCGTAACTAATTTTAAAATCTCCGTAAGGGCCCCTCCAAAGAGTTTCACTCCCAATGTTTAATTTATTAATTATTTTCGACATCATCCCACCGTCGTATAACTTAACAAGTATCCTAAATTGTAATCGACCCAAATTGTCGCTTAATAAAGGGGTGTAAGCTCGCGTAAAAGATTCCGATGTCGACTTTAAACTTGATTTCATCAAAAAATGTTGGCCCGGCTCAAAATATAAATTCAAATCATCACTTTGTGATTGTCCCGAATACTCAAAAATAATCAAAAATGAATTTTCGGTGTGTTTTAATTTAGTAATTACCCTAAAAGTTGAATAAGAAGTGTCCGAAATGCAATTTTTTAACATTTTTAGGTTATGTTGCCCCAATTTGATTTTTCGAAGTTTTTCTTCGTACACGTCGAATATGCAAGGGTTACAACCCGAGTTGCAACAATCTTCTTGATTCGGTGGCTCGATTAAATCCATTTTTTAATTAATTAATTTATTTCGTACAACAAATTTAATATTAAAAAAAAAATTAGGTTGGTAGTAAAAGTGACGTTTGACAATTATAATTTTATCGGCGCCAACTTCATGTTGTTCTTTCTATACTCGCTTAGTGAAGATGGCGGTAGGCAAGAATAAGGGTCTCTCGAAAGGAGGCAAAAAAGGCGTTAAAAAGAAGGTGTAAGTACTAAATATTAATCTAAATTTGTTCGTTAAAGTAGTTTTTATTCGCGCGTTTAAATAATTTTTGGATTTATCCCCGGATGGTGTCGAAAAACTCCGATGAAAATTTGTTGTTTTTCACCGACATGTGTCAAAAAATTTCTTTTATATCATTAAATTAATTATTATTCATTTTAACATTAATTATAATAATTATTAATCATCTCATATCTTATTAATTAATAATTCAAGTGCTTATTTGATTTGGAACAATTTTAAATGTTGACAGTTTGAGGTTATGTTTGGGGATGAACCCCAATTTCTTTTAAAATGATGACACACTCAGCTCGCTTTGAGTTAAAAATCGATGAAGAATCATTGTTCCCTATTATTTTAATTCTGAACCCCCCAAAAATAACCTAAATTTTTTGTGAAAAAGGAAAATCTTACGATATTCGTATTTTCCAGAGTAGACCCATTCACCCGTAAAGATTGGTACGATGTAAAAGCCCCATGCATGTTCACCAAACGCCAAATTGGTAAAACTTTGGTGAACCGTACCCAAGGAACGCGAATCGCATCGGAAGGACTCAAATTCCGCGTCTTCGAGGTATCGACAGCCGATTTGGAAGATGATACCGATGCGGAGAGAGCGTATCGTAAATTTAGATTGATCGCGGAAGACGTGCAAGGAAGAAATGTGTTAACGAACTTCCACGGGATGGATTTAACCACTGATAAATTAAGATCGATGGTGAAAAAATGGCAGACGCTTATCGAGGCTTCCGCCGACGTTAAAACCACCGATGGATATCTTTTGAGGGTATTTTGTATTGGATTTACCAACAAAGACCAACAATCAACCAGAAAAACTTGTTATGCCCAACATACGCAAGTGCGACAAATTAGGAAAAAGATGGTCGAAATTATTACAAAGGATATCACAACAATTGATTTGAAGGAAGTTGTAAATCGTTTAAGACCAGATTCGATTGCTAAGGATATCGAAAAAGCTTGTCAAGGAATTTATCCTTTACATGATGTTTATATTCGCAAGGTATTAAAAAAAATTAATTTAATAATATTAATAATAATAAGTTACATGATGAGAATCTCAGCTCGCTTTGAGTGATTCAATGAAGAGTATTTGTTCCCTAATTATTTTAATCTGATTAAAATCTTAATTAAACAAATTTGACGTTGACATTTGAGGTTATGTATTTAAAAAAAAATTTTTTTTTTAGGTTAAAGTATTGAAAAAACCACGTTTTGAGCTTTCTAAGTTGCTTGAGTTACACGGGGACGCTGGAAAAGGGGGTACCACTGAAGTTGGGGAGGTGGGAAGCTCGGCGGATCGACCGGAAGGTTACGAACCACCAGTTTTAGATTCGGTGTGATTGTATCGTTTGTAACGATAGAATAAAATTTTGTTTAAAAGATTTTTATGTTGTTTTCTTTACAAACTTATTATTTTTTAAATAATTATTTCATTTTCACCGAAAAAAAAGTGAGGTTAAAAAAATAAAAATCACTAACCTTGTTTTTGTTCCAAATTTTTTTTGGGATTTCTTCACAACACTCATTATTAATTAATTTTTTAACACAATTAAGTCATTTTCAGCGATTTATCAATAATTTTTCACTAAATTTTCTTAATAAAATTAAGACGCGGCGAAAACTTTTAAGATGGCCGATTTAAAACAAATGAATTGATGCAACTACATCCGAATCAATTGACGTTTATTATTAATATTAATTATTATTATTAAACTATAAATTTCATTAAAATTTATTTTCTTTTAAATAAATAATTTAATTAATCATTTTGGATCGATAAAATCACTTTAATATTTATTTTTAATTTAAAACATGTCAAATTTGATTTGCGTTTTTGATTTTCAATTGTTTTTTCGCCACCATCTTAAGATTTTTGGAGGTTTTGCTTAATTTAAGGCAATAAAATGGTAAGAAATTGAGATATAATCTTATTTTTTTGATTAAAATTGGTTTTATAAATTGTTTAGGTGGTGCTAAATAACCGGGGGTAAAATTAAAAAGTAAGTAAAAAAATCCAACTTTTTTTTAGGTTAGAATAATTTTAATTTAATTAATAAAATCTTTATTTATACAATAACTTTATTTCTAATCTCAAAAACTTATAAATTAACACACTTATTAAAAGATATACACGATAAAAAAATTTAATTCCCCTCTGGAAATATTTGACGTAACAAATTTTTATAAATCGCATTCGCTTCCTAAAACAATCAATTATATTAATAACTTCGTTTTTATTAATTCAATTAAAACAACTCACTATATATTCATCTTTATTCTCTGTAAATTCAATATGGTTTTTGAGAAACTCCTCAAACTCTTCATGTCCACGACACACGGAAATTCCCGATTCATTGTCCTCAATGAGTGTTTGCAAAAGCATTCCACAATCTTCAAAAGACGTTTGATACTCGTTCATTAAAATCGTCACGATTTCGTTGATGTAATCCAAAGAAATAATTTTTTCTTTTATATTTCCGTCCATGTTGCACAAAGCGACCAAAAGAAAAGCAGATTTTTTTCGGGTGCGTTCATCCATGTTTAATAAAGGCTCCTTTATATTCTCGAAACCTTGTAACCCATCGAATAAATGCAAACCAGGCGGATTTTCTCTTATTATACAACTAATGGCGTAAATGACTTTAGCAACAACATTAAAATCGGTCTCCTTTAACATTGGGACTAATATTTGAAGAAAACCATGATTAATTGCAACATTTTGACAAAATATATTGTTTTGGCATAATTCTGCAAGTAAATCGGCTGCTCGTAACTTTAATTCGGAATGTTTTGACTCTAAACAAGGCCGGATTATGCTAAATCCGCCGATTTTATAAAAATCGTTTGCTATATCGATATTATCGACGTAATCGCATATCGTTTCAAACGCTTGAATGTATTCGGTAACATCATCAACCTCAGAAACATTCCCAACGTTATCAAACGTTTTAATTTGATTAACCAAGATCTCAATTACATCGATTGTCATTGATTTGAGCGCGTCTTCTAGAAATTTTCGTTTTTCTTCTTCCATTGGGGCGAAATTTGACGGGCCAGCCCCATCTTCGCGCCGAGTCGCTTCCACAGCAAACCTTAATAAACCTTCTAAGCTTGTCGGTTGTTGTCTCGGTTGATTCGAAGGTGCATTTTCAACTTCGGATGTTAACATTAACGATTGTTGAGGTTTTTTTAAAACGCCAGGCATTTCAATTGATAAAAAAAATCTTGCAAAATTAAGTTTGTGAGTTTAAAGGTTATGTTGTTTTCTAGAAATGTCAAAATGTGACGATGTCGATAAAAAAGGGCGTTTTTGATGTCGGTAATTAAAAGTTTAGAAGTGTCATTTTGATTTATTCAAAAAATGTGATAAATTTTAAGTGTTTTTTTTTAATTAATTTACTTTTTTGTTCTTAAAAGGTTCATTTAAAATGAGTGACGATTGTTCTTGCGATTTAAATGAACCTATACCAGCCGCGCCGGACTCCGATTGTTCTTGTTCCGTAAGTTGTTATTGATTTTTTATGGAAATTAAACGTTTTGCGGTTTCAGATAGATATCTTTCCTCATAAAAAGGCTGACACGAATACGGAGTGTTCATGTAGCACGCACGTAATTGAGATAACTTAAATATTTTGATTTAAAAAAATTGAAATATATTAATTTTTCGTTTTAGATTCCCAATTTTCACGATACCCCAAAAGAACCATCCACAAAAACCGAGTCGATACTAAAAGCTTGTACCTGCAGCAGTTATGTAATTAAATTAATATACTAGCGGCATAAAAAACGACCAGTTTCAAATTGCAATAACGCAAAAAAGGTTTACCGTTTGCCAGTACTTCTGTAAGTGCCTTCCCCATTTTGGCACTTTTCAATTTCAGCAATGGTGAATAATGTTAATGTGTTCTTCCTACACTTTGAAGCTTGCTGTGGGATGTTTCGTGTCGTTAACTCAGGCAGTGGCTTTGGTGGAAGATGGACGCAACACTTGTTATGCTGCTCGTGTTCTTGGCGCAATATAGAGTACGGTTTGTCGCGCCGTTCAAAGATTTCGACAGACTGGTACCTTCATCAGACGACTTGGATCAGGAAGAAGACGCACCACACAACACCGTGATGATCGATATATTGTAATGACCGTGTTACGAAATCGACATACCGCAACAATTGAGAACGCAGAGTAAGAAGGAGATTTGAAGAAGCGGGGTTGAGATCACAGAGACCATCAACTGGACTACAGTTGCTTCGAGAACATTGTGTTGCTCGACTATAATTTGCACGAGATCATGTTCAGTGGACCAATAATGCAGAGTGGCGAAATGTACTGTTCTCAGACGAGTCGAGGTTCGGCTTGTAGTCTCCAGACGGTCGAGAGAGTGTTTGGAGAAGAGCAGGAAAGCGTTATGCTCAGTGCAACTTCTATCAAAGAGTACAATACCAGGAAGGATCTGTAATGTTGTGAGGAGGAATCTGCTTCGAAGTACGTACGGGGCTTTGCTTTATCAACGGCAATCTAAATGCGGATGTCCCACATAGTATCCCAACACCTGGATAATATGTATATTAGCAGAATTGAATGGCGAGTACGTAGCCCTGATTTAAACCCTATAGAAGATACACTGTTGGAAATAATTCACGAGCACACCCTATATAATCTGAACGCGTGAAGATAAATCTATAATATTTTCGGAGCACAAAGGTTTACTGTACATGAGTTTATTTAGGGAGTTTCGAGTTGTTCCGTCGCGGCATTGTTGACTGAGCCGGCCTTCCAAGTAGAACATTCCGTCGCTATGGAGACCGAAGTGGATGGAAAATACCGGTCGTTTTTAGTGTGGTGTGAGGGACCACATTGTTATCGTACTTTGTGCGCAATGTATGGGCGATAGCGTTACTTAAGTGAGTTTGAGTGAGGAATGTTTGTGGGTATGCACATTGAGGGTGTATCGTTCTGTGAAATTGCGCGTCGTCTCGAGCGGTCGTTATCAGCACTGCAACGGGCATGGCGAGAATGGTCAGAGGTAGGACATAGGTACCTTCAGCCGCGGCCGGGACGGCCCTGCGCGTCCCCAGCACACGAGAATCGCGCTCTTGTGCTCAGCCCCTTAGCGTCGTGTGCGTCCTCCTCAAGGCAACTTGGAGCTGTTTGGCCACCGGCTGGGGAACTGTACGGCGGCGTTTGGTAGATAGTGGACTGCGCGCGCATCGTGCGATACAGCGGATTCCAGTAACACCCGAGCACCGCAGCACACGTCACGAGTGGGTCGACGCTAGGCATTATTAGGTTGCCGAGTAGAGGGACATTTTGTTTTCCGACGAATCAAGATTCGAATTGAGCACCGGTGATGAGCAAATTTTAGTGCGTCGGAGCCGTGGTGATCGTCTACTCGAGCAGTGTGTGCAAGAACGCCCTATCTACCGACAACCGAGCATTATGGTATCGGGTGTGATTACACATAGTGGACGTACACGTCTGCTTCGTGTATAGCAGACCATGACGGGTCAACGATAAGTAGATGAGGTCCTACGGTCCGTTGTGCTTCCCTACGTTCGGCGGCTCCCAGGTCTGCTATACATGCACGACAACGACAGCACATCGGGCGTGTTGTACAGACCTTTGTGGAAGAGCACCGTATACGAATGCTTCCATGGCTAGCTCGGTTTCCGCATCTGAATCCGATCGAACATGTTTGGGACATGACTGGTCTGGAGACTTCTACGTTATCCGGCTTCCTCGGCTAACGTTGAGGAGCTATGGAGGCGAGTTGAGGTGGCATGGTTGGCCATCCCTCTCGCTACAATACAGCGACTTATAGACTCCATGCCACGCCGTGTAGCGATGGTACGCGAAGCTCACGGGGGATACTCTCGCTATTGATGTTTGACTCCCAGCATAGTTGTGCCGCTCTCCATGTGAGAGTAATTTACACTACTTTAGTACTACTTCCATACCAAATTTTATTGCGCTAGACACACGCGTTCAGATTATACAGGGTGTGCTCATAAATTATTTCCAACAGTGTATGTGGGATATGCTAGGGAGACGAATAGATGATCTCCGAATAGCGCTAGAAGAAGAGTGGAACCAGATTTTCCAAAATGAAATTCAAAACCAAAGGATGAGGGATGCCATTCAAGCGAACATAACGTAACATTGCGTTTGATTTATTTGTCACAGTTTAATTAATTACAGTTCATCGACATCCATGACTTGCTTCAATTTTTGATGGCGCTGCCGAACAACCTGCGTTACCTTTTAGACCTTGTAACTTTGATGTTAACAACAATAGAATCTTGAACAAAAACCAGAAGTGCTTCCCAGAGCAAGCTTCAAAGTATAGGGCAAAGGGTAGACCTTTCACATAAAAAGAACTTTATTCAAATCGAGTAATACAACAGTAAGGAAATAATCGGGAAATTAATACAATTTTGATCTATTTTTCCGCCACATAAAATCGGCTTTAACGAAATGCGATTGCAAATTTGTCGTAAAAAGAGTTATTAGAATATTCATATTTGTTTATTAATAATATGCAGGTGTATCAGGTATGAGTAGAAAAAATTTGAGGGGTTATAGGTCTCCTCTTTCTTAAGATGTAATACAATAAAGTTAAGGGTTCACAAGTTTGAGTGAACCACTGGGTAATGAATTATATTAAGCAGGCTTTGCTTTGCAATTTGTAATTTGTTTCTAGAAAAAAATAGAAGTGATAAATTTATTCGTATAAAGTAAACAACCTCTAAAAAATATCTCAAAAATGACTTTTATGTGTCAAATTAAAGCTATATACTTAAGCAAAGCCTGCTTAGTATAATTCTTTATACAGCAGTACTTAAAGTTTTAAACCCTTAACTTTATCGTATATCTTAACAATGGCAAAGAATGGGACATTGTGTTATAAGAATTATTTATTCATAAAAATTCGTAACCCCTCAATTTTTTTCTACTTATACCTGATACACCCTGCATTGTTTTTTAGGATTAAAGCGTTCAAGAGGAACCTTCAAAAAACATGCCCCTCTCAGTTTAAATTTTAAATTACCCTCTTATTTATTAAAAAGTTCTTCAAATTAACTCGAAATGATTTAATCCATTATATTGACTTTTAGGTTTCTACACAACCTTCCAAAGGTGATTCCTCTAAAAAATCGTCGTCAGCGAAATGTGCTTGTCCTTCCCAGGTTAAATTCCGTTCATAACCCCTCAAATTTTTCTACTTATACCTTATACACCCTGTATTGTTTTTTAGGATCAAAGCGTTCAAGAGGAACCTTCAAAAAACACGTCGTCGGCGCAATGTTATTGCCCCTCTCAGGTTAAATTTATAAAAAATTTCTTCAAATCAACTCGAAACGATTTAATCCATTAATTTTAGGCTTCTACACAACCTTCCAAAGGTGATTCCTCTAAAAAATCGTCGTCAGCGAAATGTGCTTGTCCCTCCCAGGTTAAATTTCGTTCATATTGATAAACGATGACTAACTCGAAATAATTAATCATTAATTTTAGGTTTCATCTCAACCTTCGAAACGCGATTCCTCTAAAAAATCGTCCTCGGTGAAATGTGCTTGTCCTTCTCAGGTTAAAATCCGCTCTTATTTATAAAGAATTCGAATTAACTCAAAATTTTAGGTTTCATCTCAACCTTCGAAAGGAGATTCTTCAAAAACGGGATCAACGAGATGTACTTGCAGCTCCCACGTAAACGCAAAAACATATTTAAAAAAAATTGTTTTAATTTGATTTTTATGATTTAGGGGATAAGTTTTGGTGATATCGAACCCGAAAAACCCATAATACCGGGGAAAAAATATCGGAAATGTGGCTGCCCACCTAAAGTACTAAATTAAAAAAAAGTTATCTCCTATTAAATCAATTTGTTTTAGAGTTCTTTAAAAAGTGGTGCATCAAAATGTACATGCAGCTCTCACGTAAAAAAAATTTATAATGATTAATATTTTTCAATTAATAATTTTTTAATTTAGGCCGTTAGTTTCGGAGATACCGCACCTGAAAAACCAAACCCTCCCGAAAAGAAACGAAAATGCGGTTGCCCACCCAAAGTATCAAAAACGAATTATTAATATCTAAATTTAACTAAGTAATTTCTTTTTAGGGTACTAGCGTTAAATCAGCACCACTCCAACCGATTCTTGATCCAAATTGCGACCCCGATAACCCCAAAATGCTTTCTTTCGATGAAGTCCGAAACGCGCGGGCGAATATTAATGGCGCAGTCGTAAAAACCCCACTAATCGTAAATTTAAAACAAATTAAAAAAAAAAGTTTATTTTGGTTATTAATTTTAGAATTCGAAACTATCCGAACTATACGGGATGAACATCTATTTGAAAAATGAATTTCTTCAATACACCGGGAGTTTTAAAGAACGCGGTGCGAGAAATGCTTTAATGAACATGTCGGAGACTCAAAAAAGAGCCGGGGCGATTTCGGCTTCCGCCGGAAATCATGCTTTAGCTCTATGTTATCACGGACAAGAGTTGGGGATTCCGATAACCGTTGTGATGCCCGTCGTCGCTCCGATTATGAAGATACAAAATTGCAAGGAATTCGGGGCTGAGATTATCGTGAAGGGAGCTGATATGGTTGAGGCGAAAACAATCGCGCAACATTTAGCGCAAGAAAGAGGGGCTCTTTATATTAATGGGTAAATGAATCTACATTAAAATAGTCGATATTAGATATGATGAATTTACCACATTTACAACACTTGATAGACTGATAAGGTAGCAACTCCATTTAGTTATAGTACACTAATACACTATATTCCTATTCTTAAACATTACTACATCACGAATTAGAACAAAATATGAATTTACTGCATTGACAGGAATCCGTTAGGGAGACAGTCTAAGTCCAGCTCTCTTTATCTTCATATATAGTGTGAAAGAAGTGGGAGGAGATTACAGAATGGGTGGTAAAGTGTCTATATCAAGGAATCTGTATGTAAGCAAGAAAGCGGAAAGAATATAAGGCTACGTAAGAGACCTTATCTGGAGAAATAAATACTGGTTATAACATACGCTGCGAAAAGTCGGGGAGGGACTTCTAAGATAAAAAGTATGGTTAGAAATGAGATGTCGAAGAGACTTCTTGGTAGACTTAAACGATAGCATGAAAGCTAGAATAGAAAATACAAGGCTGTGTCTTAATAAAAGAAGAAATAATAGGTTAATTGGGAAGCTAATTCGATATAAGACCTTACCACCTACCTCCCACTTCCTTGGGGACATATTTCAGACAATATACATTTGTTAGTGAGCAACTCTGACAAGATGGCGACCAAACTGTCATGACAGACATTTTATATAAGTATTGTTAGCAGAATTTGTTTGTTAATACTGATTCAATTAACAAAAATAAGCAGTTAAGTATACATTTTCTTTTATTGATTCCAAATTGACTATCAATCTAGCAAAACTTACATCGTCCGAATACACATAATATGATAACATAATAATATATAAATAGTCGATATTAGATATGATGAATTTACCACATTTACAACACTTGATAGACTGATAAGATGCAACTCCATCTAGTTATAGTACACTAATACACTATATTCCTATTCTTAAACATTACTACATCACGAATTAGAACAAAATATGAATTTACTGCATTGACAGGAATCCGTTAGGGAGACAGTCTAAGTTCAGCTCTCTTTATCTTCATATATAGTGTGAAAGAAGTGAATACAGAAATAAATACTGGTTCTAACATACGCGGCGAAAAGTCGGGGAGGGACTTCTAAGATAAAAAGTATGGTTAGAAATGAGATGTCGAAGAGACTTCTTGGTAGACTTAAACGATAGCATGAAAGCTAGAATAGAAAATACAAGGCTGTGTCTTAATAAAAGAAGAAATAATAGGTTATTGGGAAGCTAATTCGATATAAGACCTTACCACCTACCTCCCACTTCCTTGGGGACATATTTCAGACAATATACATTTGTTAGTGAGCAACTCTGACAAGATGGCGACCAAACTGTCATGACAGACATTTTATATAAGTATTGTTAGCAGAATTCGTTTGTTAATACTGATTCAATTAACAAAAATAAGCAGTTAAGTATACATTTTCTTTTATTGATTCCAAATTGACTATCAATCAAGCAAAACTTACATCGTCCGAACACACATAATATGATAACACAAAGGAAATGGGTTATAAACACCATTAGCAATAACATGTGAGGTTTCACTTGGTTATCACCCAAAGAGAAGAAATACACACAAACATGAACACATAAAATAAAATATATATACGTAAAAATAAAACCTGTCCCAAATTCGTTGTCCGAAACTAAGAGAGATAGAAAAAAGGTAGGTACTTCATACTGCTATATTAATCATATCAGGACTGTTTATTGTAGAAAGGACGTTGTATATGTTAGTTACTACAAGACGTTTAGATTAACATTGGGCTTATATCCGAATATAAGTTTAAATACTTATAACTATATTATTTCTTTTTTTAGTTACGATCATATTGATGTTTTGGCGGGACAAGGAACTTTAGGAATCGAAATTTTAGAACAATTACCTTCAGCTTGCGCCATTGTGGTCCCAGCGGGGGGTGGAGGATTACTCGCAGGGATTGCAGTGGCAGTTAAATCTTTAAAACCCTGCTCCAAAGTCATTGTAGGTCATTTTTAATTTTTTTATATTGAAATTGTTTTAAACCACTCTCAAGGGAGCCGAATCAGAAAACTGTCCAAGTTTTACAAACAGTATGAAAGCGGGAAAACCAGTCTTAACCCCATCACGTCCAACAGTCGCAGATGGCCTTGCAGTTCCACTTCCGGGGTACAACTCGGTCCATATTGCAAAAAGCTTCGTGGATAAGATGACTGTTGTTAAAGAGGATGATATCACCGTTGCGATGTTGAGATTAATCGAGAAGGAAAAGTATATTGTTGAGGGAGCTGGCGCAACAGCTCTCGCTGCGATAGCTTCCGGGCAATTAGATGAATTTAAAGGAAAAAAGTATGTTTATTAATTATTTAGTAATAATTTAATTAATATTTTTGTTGTAGTGTTGTTGTAGTATTAAGCGGGGGAAACATAGATTCGACAGTTTTGGGACGAGTTTTAGAAAGAGGATTAGCCGCTGAGGGTCGCTTTTTAAAAGTTTACGTCACAGTAAGTGATCGAGCCGGTGGCGTATCCGATTTGATTCGATTGATCTCATCGATCGGAGTTTCGATTAAAAATATATCGCAAGAACGCGAATGGTTAATAGTGGATGTATTCAGCGTGAAGGTGAAGGTTGTGTGCGAAACGAGGGATTGGGATCATGCTTGCGAATTAAAACAACTCCTCGAACAAAATTATAGCGACATTACCATGGTTCATGTTGATTTTCCGCCTTCTACGCGATCGGGAAAAACGGATTATTAAATATATTTCTTAAATTAAAATGAAACTAAATATTCTTTGATTCTTCTGAATTCTTTATTTACAAGAAAAAAAAACGTAGAGGGAAAGAGGAAAAAAACTTATAACCTAAGAATCAGTCGTAATATTATAAAGAGATAATTATAATAATGCCCTTTGCGGGGGCGTTGGGGGACAAAATAAATACTTAGCACGCTATTTATTTTAGTACTTGGAAAAACGGAAAACTCCGTTTTAAATTTTTATTTTTTTTTTAATTTTTGGTTCTATTTATCAAGTAATAATTTGAGAAAGGAAACCCCATCTTCGACACTTTCGACGTATCACAGTCCGGTTATAACACGTTTACCAGAATATATTCGTGTATAATGTATACATTTTTAAATTTATAAACGTTTTTAAAAAGGCGTATTTGTTCTTTGAAGTAGTCATCAGCACGAAAAATCTTATAACATAGTTTTATATCAAGTAATAATTATTTTTATAAATTCAAAATTTTCGCCGAAAATTTAAAGCACTTCTTTTACAATCATTTCATTTCATTTTTTCGCTTACTAAAGGCACGAATTGCATAACAGTACTTATTAATAAGTTCTTTTGACACTGTTGACACCTTTTTTCTTATTTGTTAACGTTATTATTAATATTACCTCCATTGTTGTTATTTCCAGAAGCATCGAAAAAACCTAAAGTTCTTAAAGTGGCACTAACCCGATTGATTAAAGGTTCCTTAAATTTCCAAACGGTTGTGTCCATAACGCTGGTTTTTCGATAATCCTCACAGCTTTTCTTCAAAGTTTTCACACAATCGGCTCGATAATGATGTAATTGAGCATCTGACGTTTCAATCGGATATGAAGTACACGAACTGCCCAAGCAGGACAACGGAAAATGATTATGCAAAGTGAGTACTTTTTTCGTGTTATGAAAACATTTAACGTATTGACCCGGTTTTGTGAAATTTTTTGCTCGATAAACATGCTGCAACATATGCATATATTTCGGAACATTTTGGAACCAACCGTGGTCGTGCAACAAATCGTCCAAAAAGTAAACGTTACGGACGTTGTAACTTGCTCGTTCGTCGGGATTGATTTTTAAAGCTTTTGGAAGAATCGTCGACATTAAATGTTTCCATGTTTTCCCTTCTAAAGGCATTATAACCTCGTCGATATCCAACAAAGCGATATATTTATACTTATACATATTTTTATAGAAACAATCGTTGTACGGAATTAATTCATTTTGTCTTTTATGATTCGTTTTTTTCGTTAAATACAAATGTTGAAACGATGGGGCGTTCGGTTGCCCCCCCGCTAAACTTATTGGAGTCACCTGAACCTTTCCTTCTTGTTCATAATGTTTCAATACTTTCGAAATATTCGGATGAACCTGAAATACGAAAAAAAGTAAGTACAAAACACCTTAAACATCATTATGATAATTGCTATTGTTATAGGACCATGGAAGAAATAAATACTAAGAAGTGATTAAGAAAGTTGAAACATTGTACTAAATGAGAAAATAACGCCAGGAATTTTTTGGAAATATGAATCCGAATGTCAACGAGATTAATTAATGATGACCATGAAGATAAGACGCAATTTATTATATCGTTCAAGGTAAACGATTATCTAAATGATCCTATTAATAAATTAAGAATGAAGAATTTATATGCAATCTTGTGATATGGACTGCACAATATTGGCTGCAGGAATTGATGTGATGACGTTAAGTTTAGTTTTGAAATGGTTTCACTTCCAACAATAACAAATAATAAGCGGCTCTCCTAATAATGTTGGTGTTATTGCCGTCGAAGTTCAGCAATATTCGACAGGTTGTTTATGAGAAAATCTCTTAATTGCCGAATTATCCTATAGATTCTATAGAAGATTCAATAACCGTAGAAATAATGTTTTTAGAACATTTTATCCGAAAACATGACATTCCGAAAACTAATTATTGAGCGATGACATCAAACCACTTTTGACTCCTTTCAAAGTCTCAAAGTTAATAAATAAAGTCTCAAAGAAATGAATGATTTTGGCTGACCAATTAATACCATATCAACCTAAATATGCACAACACACTGCAACGCCACACCTAAATTTAGTGCGGAGAATCTATGATTTCGCCTGATTATGGTGGAAACAAATGATTTTGCCAGATTAAGCCGAGGTCGCTTGCAGGCGAGGCTCCACAATTAATAACATATACAACACAACACACTGTAACGCCTCGGCTACACTTGGAGTAGTGAATCTAAGATTTTGTCTGATTTCGCCATATTAAGACTATATGGACTCTAAGTGCTCAACACACTGTAACCCCTCGGCTACACTTGGAGTGGTGAATCTAAGATTTTGTCTGAGTTCGCCATATTAAGCCGAGGTCGCTTGCGGGCGAGGCTTCACAATTAAGACTATATGGACTCTAAGTGCACAACACACTGTAACCCCTCCGCTACACTTGGCGTGGTGAATCTAAGATTTTGTCTGATTTCGCCATATTAAGCCGAGGTCGCTTGCGGGTGAGGGTCCACAATTAATAACATATACAACACAACACACTGTAACGCCTCGGCTACACTTGGAGTGGTGAATCTAAGATATTGTCTGATTTTGCCATATTAAGCCGAGATCGCTTGCAGGCGAGGCTCCACAATTAATAACATATACAGCACAGCACACTGTAACGCCTCGGCTACACTTAGAGTGGTGAATCTAAGATGTTGTCTGATTTCGCCATATTAAGCCGAGGTCGCTTGCGGGCGAGGCTCCACAATTAAGACTATATGGACTCTAAAGTGCACAACACACTGTAACGTCTTGGCTACACTTGGAGTGCTGAATCTAAGATGTTGTCTGATTTCGACATGATTTCCACAACTGATTTCCACAATTAAGACTATATGGACTCTAAAGTGCACAACACACTGTAACCCCTCGGCTACACTTGGAGTGGTGAATCTAAGATTTTGTCTGATTTCGCCATATTAAACCGAGATCGCTTGCGGGTGAGGGTCCACAATTAATAACATATACAACACAACACACTGTAACGCCTCGGCTACACTTGGAGTGGTGAATCTAAGATGTTGTCTGATTTCGCCATATTAAGCCGAGGTCGCTTGCGGGCGTGGCTCCACAATTAATAACATATACAATCCAACACACTCTAACGCCTCGGCTACAATTGGAATGGTGAATCTAAGATTTTGTCTGATTTCGCCATATTAAGCCGAGGTCGCTTGCGGGCGAGGCTCCACAATTAAGACTATATGGACTCTAAAATGCACAACACACTGTAACGTCTTGGCTACACTTGAAGTGCTGAATCTAAGATGTTGTCTGATTTCGACATGATTTCCACAACTGATTTCCACAATTAAGACTATATGGACTCTAAAGTGCACAACACACTGTAACCCCTCGGCTACACTTGGAGTGGTGAATCTAAGATTTTGTCTGATTTCGCCATATTAAACCGAGATCGCTTGCGGGCGAGGGTCCACAATTAATAACATATACAACACAACACACTGCAACGCCTCGGCTACACTTGGAGTGGTGAATCTAAGATGTTGTCTGATTTCGCCATATTAAGCCGAGGTCGCTTGCGGGCGAGGGTCCACAATTAATAACATATACAACACAACACACTGTATATCCTCGGCTACCCTTGGAGTGGTGAATCTAGGATTTTGTCTGATTTCGCCATATTAAGCCGAGGTCGCTTGCGGGCGAGGCTCCACAACTAAGACTATATGGACTCTAAAGTGCACAACACACTGTAACGCCTCGGCTACACTTAGAGTGGTGAATCTAAGATGTTGTCTGATTTCGCCATGATTTCCACAATCAAGACATATGGACTCTAAAGTGCACAACACACTGTAACGCCTCGGCCGCAAGCGACCTCGGGTATACTTACAGCACACAATGTATGACTTCATCTATAGTCTTCCACATGGAAATCGGTTTTTATAACAGTCATAAATAAGTTCGACCCTGTCAGACAAGGACAGGGTTGAATTTAATTTTTTTTTAAACACAAATTATTTTAAAGCTATTATACAATTTGCAAGTAAAGTGTGTTCCTTAATGCGGCCTTGAGTGAGGAATCCTAGCATTTTACAATGGAAAACTACCTGTTTACATCTCCGTCTTTGTCCGTTTTACTACTACAGTAGGAAAGGTACGGAGTCATAAAAACCGATCGCCATGTGGAAGACTATACCTATGGTGGATTTCACCAGATAAAGAAGAGGTCGCTTGTAGCCGAGACTATAATTAATAATATATGGATCCTAAAGTGCACAACACCCCATAACTAACTTACAACACACAATCTATGTCATCGTCTGACTACGCTGGAAATATAAGTTTTCGCCAGATTAAGTCAGGGTCGCTTGCGGGCGAGGCTTCACAATTAATACTATGTAAATTCAAAAGTACACAACGCCTCGGCCTCGGCTACACTTACGGCGGAGAATTTATGACATCATTTGATTAAGGAGAAAATCTATGATTTCACTATATCGTAGTTAATATCTTATAAATTCAAAAGTGTAATAACTAAATATTGACGAACAGCGCTAATAATTTCAATAAGAGAGAGACAATAAAGATTAATGAGGAATAACACTTCTAACTGTAAGTACACTTTTGCAAAAATTTGAATAAATTACTGATAGGAATTTCAAACCAATAATAGAAAAAAAAAATGAAGACAGTTATATTCAAATTTGGATGGAGCACCTGGAAGTTTATAGAACTTTATTTGGTTGTAAAGATACAATATCTAAGAAGGAAAAAGAAAGACGAAGACGCTTAGGATTAGGAACACGGACATAAAAAAAAGTTGAATATAAATGTGTTTGAGCGATTTTGTCGACAAGAAACAGTTAGGTTGGCAAGGTCGTTTACAAAGTATGCAAAATAGCAAGCAGATCAAAGTAAATTCAGGGTAAGTCAATAACAAAATTTACCTGTAATTCATAAAAATAAATCTTCTCCGCTCCCAATAAATTTAATAACTCGATCCATTCCACCAAGCGTACCGAGAGATCTTCATGGAGAAAATCCAAGCCTTTAACGCAAACAGCGAAGTCATGTTGTTCCTTGGGTTTATCGTAAATCACCCTCAAGTTATTAGTTGCGTTATCGCAATGATTTTCAACTAATGAAACCGATTCCGGTATTTTGTCTTTATGACCTTGTGGTAAAACGCAAGCTATTAAATACGGTTGATAGATACCCTGTTTATAATTTCCCCATTTTTTATACCAAATATATTTGTATTCAAAACTTTTCGTAACGACCGGTTCTTTTTTTTTATCGAACCAAAACTGACAGTATGTTGTAATTGTTGGTTCGATTCGATTAATCATCCCTAAAACGCGAACCGTGGGACCCAAACGGTTCGTGTTTCGATTATCCAAGTAGGCGCCGTACAATTGAAATGTGCCGTTTCTTGTTTGTAGCGTTTGCCAATAGATGTTGTTGAACTCGAGGTCGAATAGGTTTGGAAATTTGGCGCAAGTATCGTTTAAACCCATCGGTTTATTTTTATTTTTGTTCCAATAGACTATAGGTAAATTAGGCATACGCTCTTGTATGTCTTCGACGAGTTTATCTTCGCTTAAACTCGGCGACTTGTCGATAAAGACGTCTTGATCGTAATTTTCCGTGGTCGAATCATGGTGTCGCGTTGAGAGTTGATTCGCGGCGTCCGATTTCTTTGCCAATAAAAACCTGCTGTTCAGGTGCGGCACGTTCACTTCCAAGTTTAACGTGCGCAACTGGAACACCACGTAGATTATCAAGCCCCACAAAATGAAGGTTAGGAAGATTTTCGATAGGAACCTTGAGCCTCCGGTTTTACAACACATCATTTTCATTTTATTTTTTGTTTCGATTCGATTTCTTGCCTTTTTTTTGCGTTATTCGGTGTGTTTGTCTGAAAATAAAAAATAATTAAATAAATTATTTTAAAATATGTGATGAATGTTACATGTTAAATGTGACGTCAAAACTAAAATTTAAATAAATAACAAGTTAAACGAACAAAACATGTTATTTCATTCATTTTTTGAGATTGTAGGATGGTTTATGTGTCAGGTGTTGTAATTACTTCGAACATTTCGCTGATAAGACACTTTGGTGATTTATGCGGTGAAATTGTTTGGTCGATAAACGCTTCGCGTTAACGTATATACAGCATGACAACGCAGGATTGTTTGGAAAATTCTTGGAAATGGTTGGGTTGAAGAACTTGTTTCGATTGCGCAACGATCAGCGTGACTATGGTGTAGATGAAATGTTACAAATTCTTTTATTTGGAATCTCATAACAAAAAAATTGTTTAAATAAGTTCATAATAAGTAGCATTTTTTCTATTTGTGACTGCGGTTTGTTTCGTAGACCATAAAATAATTAATTTAAAAGTCAATATGCTTATTTTTAGACAAACTTTAGTTTTATCGACCCATTAGCAAGTACCCAACGTTATTGATTATCAAAGCGTGTAGACCAAATCACATACTGGATGACAGGAATAACTTTTCGGGTGACGTAGACTATTAGATAAAAAAATATCGCATTTGCTTTCGCAAAATATATTTGCTGTTTGTCTTAATGATATGTTCTTGATGTCAGTGTCATTAGCAAGACATTGTGAGGTATCTGGGATGATATGAGGGCATCTGATATTGATGGCTATTAGAGACTTGGCTATAGAATTTTGAGAGTTGTGCTGCAGGGATATTGAAACTGGTCTGCCTTAATATTGAGTGCTATTCGGGACGATGTCGTGGATTTCCATAGCCGAGGTAGTGTAAAAAAATTCGTAACAACCCAAAACTGCTGTACTAATAAAAATATTAAACACAGCATTTTGGGTAGTTTTGGGTTGTTATGAAAGTTATTGCACTGCCTCAGCCGCAAGCACCTCGGCAGAGTGAGAAAAAAGAATTTCAAAATTTTGCCTCACTCAGCCAAATCTTATTCCAGTATTTGCCGAGGTTGCTTGCGGCTGAGGCATAACAATATGTGCACATTAATTTTGTGTTTATTGGACTACTTTGGCCATAAGTGACCCCGACTGAGTGAACCACAATCAAAAATCTTTGTACTAACATATGTTGAGGTCGCTTGATCCGAGACATAACAACCTCTCGGCTGTAAGCGACCTCGGCTGAGTGACCCAAAATCAAAAATCCTTATACTAGCATTCTAGATTTAAGATGTTCTAGATTTAATTTTATTGCAGATATTCATAGATATTATGAACAACTTTACGAGGTATCTTAAATGATACCGAGGGATGTCAGAGATAACATTAATTTCTGAACTTTATGTGCTGTTTATCAAATTTTTGAGGAGTGCCAAAGATGGTATTGGTGGCTATTAGAGACAATTTTGAGGTGTTTGGAGCTATGCTGTGAGAATATTGAAAGTGATACTGAGTACTATTTGGGACGATGTCGAGGATGTACTGCCTCGACCGCAGTTTTGAATTTTATGAAATATATTAAAATGCATGTGTTATAAATACAACATGTGTTCCACTGTCTTGGGTTGGGTTGGATTATTAAAATGCCTCGACCGCAAACGCCCTCGGCATAACAATGTGTACGTATTAATTTGGTGTTTATTGGACTGCCTCGGCCGCAAGTGACCTCGGCTAAGTGAGTCAAAATCATAACTTCTCATCCTAACATGAGCCGAGGTCGCTTGCGGGCGAGGCATAACAACATGTGCTCGTTATTTTTGTGTTCATTGGACTGCCTCGGCCGCAAGCAACCTCGGCTGAGTGACTCAAAAAATCAAAAATTCTTGTACTAGCATTTGCCGAGGTCGCTTGCGGGCGAGGCATAACAACATGTACTCCTTAATTTTGTGTTTATTGGACTGCCTCGGCCGCAAGCGACCTCGGCTGAGTGACTCAAAATCAAAAATCCTTGTACTAGCATAAGCCGAGGTCGCTTGCGGGCGAGGCATAACAACATGTACTCCTTAATTTTGTGTTTATTGGACTGCCTCGGCCGCAAGCGACCTCGGCTGAGTGACCCAACATCAAAAATCCTTGTACTAGCATTTGCCGAGGTCGCTTGCGGGCGAGGCATAACAACATGTGCTCATTAATTTTGTGTTCATTCGACTGCCTCGGCCGCAAGCGACCTCGGCTAAGTGACCCAAAATTAAAAATTTTTGTACTAGCATTTGCCGAGGTCGCTTGCGGGCGAGGCATAACAACATGTACTCCTTAATTTTGTGTTCATTGGACTGCCTCGGCCGCAAGCGACCTCGGCTGAGTGACCCAACATCAAAAATCCTTGTACTAGCATTTGCCGAGGTCGCTTGCGGGCGAGGCATAACAACATGTGCTCATTAATTTTGTGTTCATTCGACTGCCTCGGCCGCAAGCGACCTCGGCTAAGTGACCCAAAATCAAAAATTCTTGTATTAGCATTTGCCGAGGTCGCTTGCGGGCGAGTCATAACAACATGTGCTTGTTAATTTTGTGTTTGTTGGACTACCTCGGCTGCAAGCGACCTCGGCTGAGTGACCTAAAATCAAAAATCCTTGTGTAAGCATTTGCCGAGATCGCTTGCGGGCGAGGCATAACATGTGCTCGTTATTTTTGTGTTCATTGGACTGCCTCGGGCGCAAGCGACCTCGGCTCAGTGACCCAAAATCAAAAATCCTTGTACTAGCATTTGCCGAGGTCGCTTGCGGGCGAGGCATAACAACATGTACTCCTTAATGTTGTGTCTATTGGACTACCTCGGCCGCAAGCGCCTTCGGCTGAGTGATCAAAAATCCTTGTACTAACATTTGCCGAGGTCGCTTGCGGGCGAGGCATAATAACATGTACTTCTTAATTTTGTGTTTATTGGACTGCCTCGGCCGCAAGCGACCTCGGCTCAGTGACTCAAAATCAAAAATCCTTGTACTAGCATTTGCCGAGGTCGCTTGCGGGCGAGGCATAACAACATGTGTTCCTTAATTTTGTGTTCATTGGACTGCCTCGGCCGCAAGCGACCTCGGCTGAGTGACTCAAAATCAAAAATCCTTATACTAGCATTTGCCGAGGTACCTTGCGGGAGAGGCATAACAACATGTACTCCTTAATTTTGTGTTTATTTTACTTCCTCGGCCGCAAGCGACCTAGGCTGAGTAATATAAACATATTTTACAATATGAGCTTATTAATTTTGTATTGATTTGGAACTCATATAACGAGTCACTCTTTAAACATCACCCACAAAATTATTTAAGTCGACCTATACATTAAAAAATCTCATTATTTTCGCCGAGACAATCTCAAACAACAAAAAATAATACCTAACAGTAAATATCAAGAGATTAGATATCTCATTCAAACATTTTTTTCGCCGCTTTAAAACGTAAACACGTCAAGATTGGTATTAAAATTCATGAAAATTCCTTATTTTCCACGTCATCGATGTTTTAACGGGGATTTTACGGTTATTTTTGCCACATTTTATTAGCACCAATTACCATGTCTGAGTGATTAATATTTCTATAAACATATTCGGTTGAGATTGTTCAAGAGACTTCCACTAATTATTGTGAAGTCGTAACTTTACTCATCCAAAGTTCGTTTAACTTCCTGTTTTTTTTTTTTTGTTTCGCGAAATCATTAATATTCTTTACAAGATTTTTTTTCCTTTAACGTTTCTTTAAATTTCCTGTATACACAAACGATTCTAATCGCAATCATTGAGTTTATATTTAGACGCGTGATGTTTCACCCGGTCTTCCTTGAGTTAAGTTTTTTAATTTATCAATAATTAAACGTGGTGAAGGTTTTCTTAATAAAATTTTATTGATTTATTCTTTTTGGATCTTTTGACCTATTTGATTCGGATTTGTGCCGCAATGCGCACCCCATGATCGTTCTCTTTACCTCTTTGGCTCCAATCCAGTCCTGGAATCGAAAATGGGAGTAGGTCTTTATTTTGGTTTTGAAAAAAATTTTATTAAAGTAGAAAGGATTCTTCTATTTCTTTCATCTTCCGATGAAACCGCCGCGGGTCGTTGATCGATAGTGTACTTTAAGAAAGTTTGAAAGTATTCCTTTCACTATAAAGCAGATTTCGAGATGCAATCTATTTTTTTTTAATTCTCAAAAATTAATACTCACCTTTTAAATTATAAATTGAGCCTTGTTTTGGTCACCTCGACATGATAAGGAAACCTAGAAACAAATAATCAAATAAATTATCCAATTTCATTCTCGCCCCCTTTTCGAATCCGGATTAAATTTCGTTGAAAACTTTATCGGCGCGGTTTTATTTTTAGTGCCAGTGTTTTAGTTTCGTGCGATGTTTAAACCATAAAACCAAAATCAAGGAAGAAAAAACGATGGCTTTAAAGAAAACATTTATTTTCATCTTTTTAACGTTCGCCGGTTACGAAACGAAATCCGAAAGCATCGAATTCAAATGGAAATTCACTTTAGACGCCGATGACGCGGCGAATTTCGTTGAAGACAAATCCGATTTGAATTGCAAAGGATTTTATTTCCCCGATTTTAAAGATATCTGTATGATGTCGCTTCATAAATTAACAACGAACGAGATTTTTTTACCGAAATCGGGAGATATTTATCTTAAAGAGGGAGCCGAAATTATTTTTGATCCAACAAACGAACGATGTAAGTTTTAAATTTATTATTATTAAGAGTTTATTGTATACAGTAATTGTTTACAATTCTTTACATTATTCAAATATTACTTTCACTCTCTACCCTCTTCCTCCATTTCCACGCCCTCGGCTCCTCGGCCCAATCATCCCCTCACCCATCCCTTTGTCTCCTCACCCCCATCACCATTCTCATCCATCGTTTCCCCTCTCCCCCCTCTCCTAAGATCTGCCTTCGGTCCATCTCCTCCTCCCTCAACTCACTGCACCCATTCAGCATGTGTTCTAACGTTTCCCATTCCTCCCTGCACAGCCTACACCACCTCTCCTCATCGGCCATCCAGTATTTGTTGGCTCTCTCCTCGTTTCCACAACGGAACCTAGCCACCAACTTTTTCCCTTCCTCATCTCTTTCCAATAACAAGTATCTAGGCAGCCCCTCCGTAATTATGTCCCTGTATCTTTCGTTATACCTTCCCTCTTTTATTTGTGTCCTTCTTTCCTGTCTCTGCACATCTCGGTCCCTGTCTCTCAACTCCCTCCACATCTCCCTACCCACCCTTCGTCTACTATTTATCTCCGTTACCGAGTAGCCCGCTCGTCTATAATAGTTGTCTCTGTGTCCTTTCCCATATCTGACCTTTCCCTCTCTAATTTCCCTCCAACACTCCCCCAGGATCCCGCAGCTTGGCCTCCCTTCTATTCTTTCTTCATATTTCACTGCCCTCCTGCCCGCCTCCACCCTGACCTTATCCACCTTTACCTCTTCCCTCACTATATACCCCGGTGTTTCTCTCGCCACCCCAAGCACCCATCTCCAATATCTAGCCTGCACGTCCTCCAGCGGTCCCTGCTCCCTCCATCCCCATACCTCTGCCCCATACATCATCACACTGCTAACCAGACCTTCAAACATAATCTTCCTCGCTGCCACATTCCTTCCAAAGACTCTCTTCCCCCAACCCCATACTTGTCCCATCACCTTATTCGCCTTTTTTGCCATAGCTATCACATGCGACCCCTCCCTGTTATCCTCCCTAAACACATACCCCAAGTAAGTATACTCCCTAACCTCCTCGATCTCCTTTCCCTCCCATCTCCAGTTTTCTGTTCTTTTTCTCCCACCCTTACAAAACTTCATCATCCTTGTCTTCCCCACATTCACTTCCAGCCCCTTCCCCCTAAAATATCTTTCCAATGTCTTTATCATCTCCTTCATCTCCACCGCTTCTCTCGCCATGACCACGATGTCATCCGCGTATGCTAACATATGCACCTTTCTACCTCCCACCACCAATCCTCCCATCTGCCCCTTCCCCAATCTTTCCTCCAGGTCCGCCGTATACAGTGCAAACAGACTTGGGCTCAGCGGACATCCCTGCCTCAGTCCCTGCGTCGTCCAGAACACGTCGCTCAGCTTATCTCCCACTTTTATCCTAGCCATCGTCTCCATGCATATTTCCTTCACTCTCGCAATTAGGTGTTCCGTTATCCCCCTCCTCCTCATCTCCTCCCACAACTTCCCCCTATCCACCTTATCAAAAGCCGCCTTCAAATCTATAAACAGGGCGTACAATTTCCCTACCTTCTTATCCAGCTCTCTATCTGACAAATGCTTCAACACATACACGTTGTCGATTGCTCCCCTTCCCTTCCGAAAGCCTGCCTGCCCATCCGGCAAAATTCCCCCCAACTCCATCTCCTCCTCCAATCTTCCCAGCAGTATCTTCGTGTACACCTTGTATGCCGAGTCTAGTAGGTTAATTCCCCTGTAGCTCTCTACACTTCCCTTATTACCCTTTTTATATACTGGGCAAATTACCCCACTTTCCATCCCTCCGGAATCCCACCCCCTCTCCATACGATATTCATCCCCTCCAACAACTTCACTCGCACCACCCTTGATGCTTCCAACCATGCTTCGTTATGTATCCCATCTTCATCTGGCGCCTTTCCCTTCTTCAATCTCCTAAGCACCACCTCTATCTCCTCTCCCCCATCTCCCTTATATCCTCCCAACCCCGTTAGCCTCGTTTCAACCCCTCCCAATAATCCCATAAAGTAACTCTTCCATTCTGTCATGTGTATTTCGCTGGTTATCGTCTCCCTACCCTTCTTTCCTTTTTTCAGATACCTCCAGACCTCCCCTTCCCTTGTTATCCCCCTAATCTCTGTCGCCTCCTTCTCCCTCAATTCTGTTTTCTTTCTACTGCATAACTCTCTGTATTCTCTCCTGGCTTCCCTATATCTATCCACCCCTATCTTCCCCCGTCTCCACAGCCTCAACCTCCTTCTCGCCTCCCTCTTCGGCTTCTTGCACTCGCCATCATACCAGTCGTTCCTCCCCACTTTGTCCCCTCTACGTACACACTCCCTTTTCAGTGTTGCCTCCCGCACTACCTGGGTAAGCTCTTCCAACCCGTTGATCTCTTGTATCCTCTGTTGCCAAGTGTCGAGGTTTCCCCTGTAGAATGCTACCCCTTCTTCCGACCAATCTGTCCTGATGAACTTGCTACCCAGTTCCGCTCGCCTTCTGCCGCCCACCCCCTTTACTTCCACCTCCAACGGTTGGTGATCCGACTCTACCGCTTTAAACCTTTCCACCCTCTCCCACATTTCCTGATCCACCAATACATAATCAATCACAGATGTCCCCCTCGCCCCGATGTAAGTATACTCCCCTTCCTCTTTATTCCCATTCAGTATCTCCCATCTGTTCTCCTCCACCCATCTCAGCATTTCTGTTCCTTCTCCATTCCGCACAGTATCCTTCGACCGCCGTCGTCCCTCCTCTCCCCATATCTCAACCCTTCCCCCCTCTTCGTCCACTCTAGCATTGAAATCCCCTCCCATTATTATATATCCCTCCGTCCCATCCCTGCCATCTCCTCCCATTGCTTTCTCGTCTCTTTCATTGACTTGCTATACACAGTAACTATCTGCACCGTCTCTCTCCCCCAGCTGATCTGCCTTTTTACCATTCCCTTCTGCCTCCATCTCCCCTCCGTCTTACTCTCCTCCGTAATTCCTGTTATAATATCCCCGCACGCTCTTCCTCTCTTACTTCTTCTCTCTGCATACACGCAATCCCATCTATACCCTTCTGGCAATTTTCCCTCAATCTTTGCCCACCCTCTTTCATCAACCCAGGTCTCCACCATACAAATCATCTCAAATCTCTTCAGGTATTCCCAGAACTGCCCTCCCTTATTCGTAATCCCCGCTACATTCCAGAACACCATTTTCAACCCCTCGCTCTTCTCTGGCTTCTCCCCTCCCCCGTCTAGTTTTTTGATAAAGTCATAATTAATACTTCTCTTCACCAACTCCGCCGCTATCTGGTATTCCCCACAGTTTCTGTCCCTTGTTTCGTGTCTGTCATCCTTCCCCCTGGCTTTGCAGTTTGCACATACCGCCTCTCTCTCCCTATTCCCACAGTTCTTAAACTCGTGGCCCTTTTCCGCACAATGCCCACATACCGTCTCCGATTTGCAGAAACGTTGGAGATGTCCGAAACCCTGGCATCTGTAGCACCTCTTCGCGTCTATGAAGTCGTCAATTCTCAGTGACGACAACCCAATATATACCCTCCCAAATTTTATAATCTCCCTTCTCACTCTCCCTGACACTTCCATAACATAATTTACCACCCCCTTTTCCCTTCTGCCCGTCTTGAACAATATTCTGACCTCGTTCTTGAAGTCATGCCAACCTATCCCAACCCCTTACTCAGTGTTTTTACCCCATAGCTGCTCCTCTAAATTTATTAAAAATACTTTAAAATGAATCCAAACACGATTGGGTTATTTGTTATCTGTCATTATTAGGCCATTTGACACTATTAGATCATCTGTCATGATTAGGTCATTTGTCACTATTAGGTCATTTATCATTTTTATACTATATTTTAGTTATTTTTTGAGATATTTTTTCGTGTTTCGACTTATTTAAATCAATTTTTAATTTTAATCTTTATTTTTTAGGTATCAAAGTAAAATCGACATCATACAAAAACTTCCTCGATCCGAATTCTTGGACATCGAAACGATCGGGAAATCGCGCCGTACCCGATTTAGAAAGAACCCCTTGCCATTGCGACGAAGTTACGTTTCCGAATAATTCTTTATTCGCGATGAAATCGCCCAGCTTTTTACACCACGTTAAAAAAATCGATTACGGCCTCAAATTAAACGATTACAGTTGCCCTTTGATCATATCGACGATCGACCAAAGAATCTCAAGCATCGGATTTTGCGAAGACGATAAAATTTGTCAGATGAGACAGCATTCAAGCCGAGTTTTAAACGAACTCTGTCCCTTAATCAATCGAAACGAAGAGATTGAATGTTCGGAAGGAATCGAGCTTTTAGGACATTGCGGCAAATTTTGCGGGGGCGTTATCCGCGTTAAAAGCGATTTTTACGTGACCCCCTCGAACATTTTACCATTTTTAAACGAAAATTTCGATGTGTATTCATCAAAAATAATTCAAAACGACGATTTTATAATCCAACAAATCTCAATAACCGATAAAGGCGGTTTTAACGGGGAGAGTGCGATGAAATTGGTCGAAAACGCCGAAAAAATCGAACGATTATCGAAAAAAATAGGAGTTGAATCGATTCAAATATCAATTTCAGGTCCCCCGAGTAACAACGGCGGATTAAAAAATAACGTTTTAATCGTTTTTTGCACCTTGATTTTCGTCGTGGGAGTTTTTGGCGTTATTTTCGGGGTGTTTGAGAAGAATTATTTTAATTTGGGGAGTTTGAGATGGGATTGGATTAATCAAAGGGCGAATTTGGCTCGCTATAATCAAGCTTTAAGACGCTCGGTGATTTTTTCGAGATTTGATGATAACGAGAATGTTTCGATTGCTGGTTCTGTGCTAAATTTGCAAAGGGAAGAGTTTGATAATCCATTATACACCGAAGGGGATAATCAAGATGAAGCAGAAAATAAAGAAGGCGAAGAATCTTAATAAATAGAAGTCTCGGTCAAGATTTATTTATATCCTTTTTTTAACCATATTAGAAAACAGTTATATCTCGGGTCGAACTCCTTTACGCCCGTTTCTTACTCGAGATCGTGAGATACAAAAAGAAATAGAAATAACAGCTGGTTAATGTGTGTTTTAACGGTTAACTTCGAATAAATTTTGCACGGAAGATGAGAGAACCATACCGGTTTAGATTTTGATTCTTATTCCTGAATTGCGTGCCGTGAAATATTTATTATCTGTGTTATAAAAAAGGTTGCATTAAATCGGCGTAAAATCGATGCATTCTTCAATTATCCACGCTCCACTTGTACATAATAATATAACTGCGAGTCATAAAGAAAACGTTTCCACCAAGAAAAAATGTTTGAATAAAATTAATTTAATATTATAAGACCCAATTTTATGGTTAATTGTTGATTAGAATTAATTTTTCTCTTACCTCGCCTTATTTCGCCGGGTTTATCTTTAAAACTAAACGCAAAAACACGTTCCATGTTATTTATACTCAACCGTGTACTTCTACTTATCGTGTAAAAATATTGTGTTGTAGTTAAAAAGCTAAAATAAGCGAAGAATTCTTTTGTAAAGCGTCCACTTTATCGGACTTTATCTAACTCGGCGCGTTTCCGGTTAAAACCGTGCGAAAACAATGCAACGACATTAAAAAATGTATTTTTTTAAACTTACTAATTCAATTAATCGGTTCGATTAATAAATTTAAGGCGTTTATCTCGTCGAACATAAGAAAAACATGCGAATTTAGGTCGGACCTCGCTATTTTTAAAATCATTGCGTAATCAAATTGGTTATTTACTTTATTTGTTATAAAGGAAAACACACATTGTTATCGTGCAATAATGAAATCTCAAAAAAAAGTATTTGTTGAAATCTAATCTAAATATAGAGAAGCTAAGTGGATTAAAATTTATTATCATTAATTTATCACAATTTTATTTCCCTATAACCGTTATTATTTTGCAGGTTTTCGTCGCGCTGCAACAATTTTTTATTAACAATTTATAAGAAGAAAGCTTTTGTAAGGAATTTATAACCAAAGTGGATTTAAAATTACGTAAAAGACAACTTAATGAGTAAAAACGACGGTCAAACATCTATTTAATGCAGAACTTGGCCACACTGTCGAAGTTTTATATAAAAACTGTCTTGATTTGAATGTTTCACTCTTGGAAAAAGTCTCCACAAAACAAGAGAATCCTGCCTATAACAAAATACAAGATTGAACAGAGCTGGGTATGAAGAATATCGCTAAGAGGCCTGTTATGGAAAGAAAAAAGAAAGCCTAAACAGAAAATCCCTACAAACATTTAATGATGAGTGCTGGAATGTAGATGAAAAATAAATTGAACCAGCACATGGATGGTGCAATAGTACGAGAATAGTTTGGCTGGGGCATCTGGGATGCAGGGAGATAGAGAAATGAAGAGAATTATAGAATTGACACCACAGGGTTAGATACTTAAAGAATACACACACACACTGTTGAACTACACTATTTATTGTCAAGGGTAAATTTCCTGCATATACAGGTGTCCCGAAACTCAACGTCAAGCGGACACCGGGTGAGAGACCAACTCATATCTGTTCTGGTAAAAATAAGAAAAAAATTCTCTTAGTTAAGTGGTAATAGTGATTTTTTAAAAAATGTATTCCTTATGAACCATGCTATTGTAGCAGTCACAAATCAAACAACAAAAGTCGTTAGTTTTGCAAAAAAAAATGTATTAGTTTGATTGAGTTAAGGTTGAAAGAATTTATGTCTATTTAGGTTGACACACGATTTCTAAACAAAGCAGTAGTACAACACCCTTGGCAAGTTATTTTAAAAGATGGCCTGTTTAGTGGAGATTCCAAAATGGTATTGCTTGTTTTTCTGCAAAAAACGCGTTATTTAAAAAATCATACTTTCGTATGTTATTTGTATTTCCTCCAAAATAATTTAACAAGTTTGTTAGAAGATGTGCCACTCAATATCTAGAGAGAAATGTGGTTTCAAAAAGATGGTTGTCCAACTAATTATGCTTGTCTTGTTCGGTATTGCATACAGAATAGCCAGAAAGATGGATTGGGGTGTTGTACTACTCCTTTTTTTTAGAAATCGTGTATCAAACTTAACAGACAAAAATTCTTTTAACCTAAACTCGATCAAACTAATAGTTTTTTTTTGCAAAACTAGGCTTTTGTTGTTTGATTTTGTGATTTAAATTGAGAACATTTCTGACTGTAGTACCTAAAGATACGATTTTTAACATTTTCAAAAATATCTATTACCACTTAACTAAGAAACATGAAATTTTTTTCTTATATTTACCAGAACGGGTATGGTGGGTTAGCCTCTCGCCCGGCGCCCGCTTGACGTTGAGTTTCGGGACACCCTGTATACACGGGGGTATTTACCCAAGATGGGTATTTATAAAATTTAATTTAAATTGAGTTGATGGCAATTTTGCAAGCACTTCAAAAATGCAGAGTCGATTATCGATATACCAAACTTATTTATAACATCTACACGAATGCTACAATGACGGTAAAATTACATGAAAGTACTGAAGAGAGTAAAAGTAGTAAATTACTGATTGTAAGTAAAACAAGGCGATACACTGTTGAACCCAAATTGTTCATTACAGTCCTCAAAGTGCATTTAAACAACTGGATTGGACCCAAAAAGGCATAAACATTGATTGCAAATGCTTAAGGGCCGGTTTATCAATATCTAGTTAAGACGATTTATCTGTCAATTAAAATTGTAGCTGATAGATAACGTCGACGAATCGTTTATCCACCCGTAGTTTAGGGTAATCTTATAGATAAATATGACATTTGGATACCCACCAGATTGAAGTACTGGTTAAGGGTTTACCTATTAGATATTATCAAAAAAATGTGAGCACAAGTTTGGTTGCTTGGTGAAAGGAAATGACAATAAAATCAAAATATAACGTCAAAAATAAATTAAGCTTATAATTGTGGTAATGGATAAGCAAGAGAAAGAAATGATTTGGTAAACGAATATAAAAATGTTATAGAAAATAAATAATAATCTAGTAATTAAAAAGAAATAATATAATCTATAGTCAAATACAGTATAATCTCGTCTCAATTTTAACCAAGATTGACAAAACTTTTTTAACCGAAATCTAACAAAAAAACGTGGTCCTCCAACTCCTCAAGGTAGTTTTGACTTTTGCTCTATCTCGTAGGTTGCTGCCTGTCGGGTAGAAAATTGCTGGATAAACGGTTCACTGAAGTTATCTGTTAGACAAGTTTATCCATGAGTTGCGTATCTAACAGATTTAACTCGACATTGATAAACCGACCCTAAATATAGTTATTATATCGGATAGCCTTGGAGAGATTAAACTAATACTGAACGACTTAAAGGAGGCGTATGCAAGAGTCGGGTTAAATATCAACGAGGAGATTTAGGATCAAAATTTATGATAAATCTTGTTCCCAGCTCTAACATAAACATTGGGGATAATGAGATTGAGAGGGTTGACAGCTATGTATATCTTCTGCTTGGCCTATCTCTTCTGCATTTGCATATAGAGAAAGTGGCTAGAACAACCATTTACAGATTTAAGCAATATGCTCAAAACTGTTCCGACATGTCCTACCAATGGGCTGCGGAAGACATTATAAGCACTGATACTGTGCTATCAATGCCGTCAGATTTGGCGGTATCACTATCAGTGATTAATGCTCGATACCAGATTGTACTGCCTGAGCGGCAGTCCTGGATCGAAAATGAAAATTCTCTGGTTCGGGCAGACATTTGCTTGTACACAGATGGATCAAAAACGCCTGAAGGGGTAGGAGCAGGAGTATACTGCCAGACACCTCGAATTAAGCAAGCCTACAGCCTGGGTACGTACTGTACTGTATTCCAGGCGGAAGTATTTGCTATTGACATGGGTGCTAAAATCCTTCTTGAAAGAGGGGTGAAGAACATGACAGTACGAATTTTCTCAGACAGTCAAGCCGCTCTCCAGGCGCTGCAAGCCGTGAAAACGGTGTCGGCTCTGGTTAATGATTGTAAGAGAACATTAAACACACTGAGTTGTGATAACAGAGTCTCTCTGATCTGGGTCCCGGGTCACTCTGGGGTTGCTGGCAATGAAGCGGCAGATAAGCTAGCACGAGATGGCAGCGCTGAAGCGTTTGTGGGACCGGAACCAGCAGTTGGTGTATCATTTGCGATGGCCAAATATAGGATTGGACTGTGGGCTGAAGAGAGACTTCGCCTACTGTGGACCAGTTCTCCTGGAATGAGACATGCTAAGGTGTTTATTAACATCGCCACTGTCAAACCCGGGAATATTTTAGGACTTGCCCGTAGTAGCATAAAAGTTCTAATGGGTGTTTTTACTGGGCACTGCCGATTAAAAGCACACCTCAACTTGTTGGGTTTAGCCGACGATGTTGAATGCCGACTATGTGCGGAGGAAGCAGAGACGGTTGAGCATGTTTTATGCCACTGCCCTGCCATTAACCGTATCAGATTCTCGATTTTTGGGTCGCAGTTTATCTCCTCAAAAGATCTGAATGACCAAGGTATTAATGTTCGTTAAGAGCATTGGACTGCACGGTGAAATTTGATAACGATATCTATCGGGGTACAATAGATCCTTAGGGTCGCGGTGCAAGGTTGGTTGGTCCGCCTACCCGATATGTATTCTATGTAAAGTAATGTAATGTAATGTATATCTTGGCTATGAGGTTCGTGTATCGAGAGATAATGAAATATGGGCAGCCTACAGGAAACTTAGAGACATCTTCAAGAGAAAAGGCTTTCAATCAATGCGTGTTATGACTTATGACATAAGGCTCCGAAACTTTAATATTAACGGTAGCCACTGCCAAGAGAGTCCAAGTAACGCAAAGATAGATGGAGAGGTCGATCCTGGGTCTAACTCTGAGAAACTACATACGTAATGGCATAAATGATGTGGTCAACATTGTGACAAAGCTTAAGTGGAAATGTCGCGCGAATGAAGAATGAAGAGTGGACAAAACGGTTGCTTGAGTGGAGAACGCGAGCGAACAGATGAAGTAGACGTCAAAAGAATGACCAATAATTGGATTCAGACAGCATAGAATAGAATCGAATGGAACAGAATAGGGGAGGTCTATGACTAACAATGGACGCAGAGGGCTGCTTGATAATAATAATCATAATAACTTGATCTAATCTATATTACGACAGTTTGCAAGTGCATTAACTCAACCCCATTTTAGAAATACCTACCCACCGGGTATTTACCCAACGCCCATCACTGAGTATGATATATAAAAGCACAAAGAATAGCTTGACTGGAGCATCTGGGATGCAGGGAGACAAGGGAGTGAAGAGAATTGACACCACAGCGTATAGACTTAAATAATACACACACACTATTGCACTACAGTCCATTGTGAGGCCTCTTCTACAACACGCCTGCTTTAGCTCAGATTCTAGCAAGTTTGAGTTTTATTCTTCACGACTTATTATTTCTAATCATTCCCTGTAATGTTACGCAATTAACTTAAATGATGCAGACTTGATGAAGTCAGCGTAAAAGATGTAGTAGATACAGATTAACACTTCTTTGACACCACGAGCTGAAAAAAAAAATTAAAAGGGAACAAAAACATTCACTTTTATTGTTATAACAACTGAATACAAATTTCCTTTTTGAATCGACACAATCGTTTAAATTGTATGAACATAGTCGATAAACGTCACAATATCCGGTTTATTATGACTCATAGAATGGCTCTCAATTAGATTGTATTATGTATAAATACATACACACCCACAGAGAGGAATGAGAGTAAAAAAAAAATTGTAAATTACAAATTATTTAGTGTGGTAGTAACATTATAAAGTTAACTAAATTCAATTAGAGATTCTGTCGGTTCTCGTTCGGGTTAGTTAACT